CGACACCTGCGATTTCCAGTTCCACTTTAGCAATATAGCTCGTTTCAGTGATAATAGGAGATTTGGGGTGTACAGCAGTCCTGATAAAGTTAGTTTTGATTGATTCACTTCCGTTTATTAGTTGTTAACTGACTGAACACTTTTACTGTGTTCTGGCCGTTCATCCGCACTACAGCAGTGTTTGGGGCTCGAGAAAACCAGCTCAGTTCAGTTCTCATATATAAAGCTGTCAATGCAGACAGATCAATAATATAGTTGCATATTAAATGAAATGTCCCCAACTAAGCAACCTCTCCAGGATTGCGGGATGTGGTTACGGGAGCGTTTAGGTCACGGCCGTTCAGGGAAATACATCTAAGAGTTTCCTAGATGATTCCATGATCAAAGCACAGGAAACTTTAAAATAGAGTTCACTAGAAATGAAGGACAATCAGGAGCCGGGAAGTGACAAGTCGAGGGTCAAGTCGAGGCTCTGATCTCTGCCAGGCTTTATTTGTCTATAAAAAAAACCATCTCCCGCAAGACACTTCGCACTCCAGCCTATCTCTAAGCATGTGTGCGCTCGTACAAACAGGGCTCTAGTGGCCAAATTACTGCTGCATTTATTAATTTTCTACGAGGGAGCAAATTAAAGGCTGATAATGGGAACAAATATGGCTGGGATTTCTCACCGGGGTCTGAAGTAGTTCATTATGCCGTGGCATTGTCTCTAAGCATGCTGGGCCAGCGGTGATTCCAGGGGCATTTAATCCTCCAATTAGCCCCGGGAAAATCCAGTTGCCCCGACTCTGGTGAAGCGCACATCTCCCAGGGCAGGGGAGCAAGTGTGGAGAGGCTCAAGAAACGCATGTCCTCCCTCCACTTCATGGTGAACAGGGTTTGAAATTAAAGGGATAATTCACTTTGAAATACATTTTTGGTATGTTTTATCTTACCTCAAGGGCATCCAAGATGTAGGTGTCTTTGTTTCCACAGTATTTTCGATTTTGATATTTATAGGTCAAACCGTTCTTGTCTGTCAGTCATATAATGGAGGTCTATGGTCGCCACCTCAAACAGCATTCACAGAGTCGTCCAAATTAAACATGATTTAATGACTCGTAAATGTAAGTACACATTGATTGCCTAAGACACGAAATGAGCGGTTTGTGTGAGAAAACGAACAGTATTTATTTCGTTTTTACCTCTTGTAATCACAGCCACGTCCAACTGATCTGAGGTCTGCAAACGCCAGAAGTGATCTCTTGCGTCTACGTCACTCATTGTGTTTACACAGAGATTTCAGAAGTGTTAACCTTCAATGTGAAGATCTAAACATATTTAGATCGCAATGGAAGACAATTTCGATATATCAACAGACAACGTTGATTTTTTTTCGCAACCACGCGAGAGATCACTTCCGTCCAAGTGCCCTCAGATCACTTGGACGTGGCTGTGGTTACATGAGGTAAAAACAACATGAATACTGTTCGTTTTCTCAAACAAACCGCTCGTTTCGTGTCTTAGGCCATCAATGTGTACTTACATTTACGAGTCATTAAATCATGTTTAATTTGGACTTGCTCTTTGAGGTGGTGACCATAGAGCTCCATTATATGACTGATAGACAACAACGGTTTGACCTAAAAATATCAAAATTGAAAAAACTGTGGAAACAAAGACACCAACATCTTGGATGCCCTTGAGGTAAGATAAAACATATCAAAAATTAATTTCAAAGTGAACTATCCCTTTAACACACGCCAAACGCGGGTCAAAATCAACTGTGTTGGGTAAGACTGTCAAATCACGATTCAATTCGGCGTGTTACTTATGTTTACTCAATTTGCTGGTGAAGTTTGTGTGAGACAAATCTGCTCAGATTTAGTGCAAATACTTGTCCTCATGATATATTAATCCAGCCCGTTCTCATCCCAAGGCGTCATATACTGACGCTTTTGACAACGCTAACTCTAACCCTTTAGCGTCAATATGAGACGCAGATATATATGGGGCAGAAGGCGCCTCCTAGTGGTCTAACCCTAACCCTACTCCAGACCTAAACCTACACGTAACTGAAGCGTGTTATATTGATGCTAAAGGGTGCCATGTGCGTTGGATGTCTACGTATTGGCAAAAGCGTCACTATATGAAGCCCTAGGATGAGAATGCGTTGATTAAACACAGCGTATCGCGTAGAATCTGCTCATATCTGGCTTGAACACACACGTCACTACACAACAAATAACGGCACACTTGTTCATTTGCATTAAAGCAATAGTGGAGATTAAAAAAGCTTTTGGTGAACAGAAAAGACATTAGCAGACAACATCCTACATGTTTTGATGTTCTATGTACTGAATTGATCTGTCCATCTAAACACATTTATGGTGAAAATGAAGAGCTGGATGACAGGATTTAGTTTGAATAAGAAATTAATTATATCTCTATCTCTTAGATCTCTGTATCTCTTTTTATTTAAATGTTTTGGCTAGTAGAAGTTCTGAATGGCCGATAACTTAGTAGCCAAACTGGCCGGTGAGTGAACAAGTTAATTTCAAACCCTGATGGTGAACACTTGAAATACTAAACATAATGGGCAAGCATTGGAGGAAGGTTTTCTGGGAAAGGCATTCACCTTGGAGTTGGTTTCTCATGGAAGGAGCTACAGGGGGGGTTAATTAAGCATGGAGGTGCTGGGGGGAATGATCCATGAACAAAGCCTTCAGTGGTGTACAAACAGCCCCAGCGCTACCCCCCGCTGGCAGGAGCCCCGCGTGCACTTTAATGGATGGGATTAACAGCCAATCAGGGAGTCTCTTTATGATACCCTCATGCTATCATTCATCTTGTCCTTACCAAACTTCCTGTTAGATACCCTAAATCTGGTCTCAGAGGGGTCTAAAACCACGAGGACATGATCAACTGATATAACTTTAAGATCATGAGCAGGTTAAAGCTAAATATGAACTTGAGCCTTTTTTTTCTGCCCAGATTTTAGGGGAATTGTGTGGAATAGTAAAAGTTATACAAGTTTCACTGCGGGGTGTGAGGATGTACTCCAAATAGTGACTGAAAACAGTTGTTTACATTTTTATTTCAGGATTCTTTGACGAATTGAAAGTTTTCACAATACAGATTGTATCAAAGCAGCTTCACAGTGATAACATAAAAGTAGTACAACACAGATCAATAATATTGTTAAATATTAAATACTAAATAACCCCGACTAAGCAAGCCAAAAGCAAGGCGACAGTGGCAAGGAACCAAAACTCCATCAGATTGGATGGAGAAAAAACCTTGGGAGAACCCAGGCTCAGTCGGGGGCCAGTTCTCCTCTGGCTTACGTTCATATTGTTTAAATATAAATATTAAATATAAATATTGTTTATATATAAAACGGCGCCATAACATATCGCCGGCGTTGAGTCGTCTCTTCACAGGCGTTGGTCCCCTCATCACAAGCGTTGGGGCATCCGAATCCCCGTGAGAGGCTTGATACAAAACTAAAGAACAGCATTTATCTGAAATATAAGCTTTTGTCACATTAAATACTATTTCTTATTTTTTGGGGGAAAGTAATCAATACTTTTATTCATCAAGGATGAATTAAATTTATCAAAAGTTACAGAAAAGAGATTTATGATGTAACACAATATCGTATTTCAAATAAATTCTGTTTTTTGAACTTTATATTCATCAAAGAATCCTGAAAAAAACAATTGTATACAACTGTTTTCAGCATTGATAATGTTTGATTGTAAATGTTTCTTGAGCATTAAATCATCATATTAGAGTGATTACTGAAGGATCATGTGACACTGACATGATGATATGGATTTTTGGGGGCAGATGCCGATACTGATTAAAAAAAAGGCAGATACCGATATATCGGTCGATATTATTAATGTCTATATTATAATGCAGAAGCAATATTATGTATTATAGTAGAGTACCAGTCAAAAGTTGACACACTTTCCTATTGGTGAGTACAAACTTTTGTAGGGTAGGCGCGTGAACTGCAACTCGTCTCATAAATGAACTGAAACTCAGCATATAGATCTGAGAAATATATCTATATTGAAATGTCTACTTTTAAACAGAACAATTCAAAACGAAAGACAGACTGCTCTCTGCTGTAATCCGAATGAAATGTGCATTTCTCTCTGGTGTGTTCACTGACGATCTTTGCAGCGACGCTGACTGAAAACACTTGTTTATTAATAAACAATTACAAAGTCTTCTTGCTACATCTGATGTATTCTCAATCTTTACTTTTGCCAGTTCTTTGTCACAGCTTTTATGTGCTTTATTGGCAACGCCACCCTTACATGAATCACTACACCTGTATTTTTAAAAAATATTTATTTATCGGCCATTATAAATGCTGATAGCGATAGTTAGGAAACTGCCTAATATCGGCCGTCGGGCTCTAGACTGGAGTAATGATGAGGAAAATTCAACTTTGATCACAGGAATAAATTACAATATTTGAAGAGTTCAGATGCAAAAGCCTCTAAGTGCCATTTGAAATTTTCTTCTAGAATGATCATTTTTATCAAGCTTGTATATTTAAGTTCAGTGATTTCACTTAAATGGCAATGATAATTACCTATTAATTGTTATTTAAGTGAAATTACTGAACTTAAATTTACAAGTTTGATAAAAATCATCATTAAAGAAGAAAATTTAAAATGGAATTTAGAGGCTTTTGCATCTGAACTCTTCATATATATATATATATATATTTAATTGTCACAATATTTAACAATATTTTTGTGGTATTGTTAATAAAATAAATGCAGCTTTAGTGAGCAGAAGAGACTTCTTTTAAAAACATTAAAAATGGTCTTGATCCCAAGCTTTCGGCTGGTAGTGTAGATTTAGTGTGGGTCTGATTCCCAGGGAATACACACACAACACTGACCACTCAAACTCAAGGAAAACAAGTGAAGGTGCAAAAAAAAAAAAATCATTCGAAACACAGACACACAGAAGTTAAGCACACAAACTTGCTGGTGTTCATTTAAAAAATATAACTTTTAATAAAGGCTACATCTCTTCATAATTACAATAATTAAAGTACCAAGTCGTCTTTAAAATGAAGCTCTATATAATGCATAATTTACATTGGAACACAAACAAAATTTGGGGAGGAAAACACTGAAAAGTAATGTCATGATTACAAGATATCCAAAGCATAAAAAACGTATTTTAAACATAAACCCCTCAGAAAAGCAAGGGAATATTCACACCCTGAAACAGGGCAGCACACAGCATGGTATCCATGTAGGCACAGGTACTGTATAATACACTAGCGATGGCATGTTTTGATCCGCTCATGCCAATTTATCCAGGCCTTTTCCATTCGACGTTTACACAGGACATTAACCCTTTCCATGCACACTCTCGGATCTCTCGCAGACCATGCTGAATTTCACTTTTAAAATGGTGTAACTTCCTATTACTGCTGTTTTTGTTCAGAGTTTTGGAACAGGCTCCAGGACAAGGCTATTGGTTCCTGTGCAATGTCTGGACCTTAAACCAAAGGCACTATAAAGATGCAACAACTATTAACTGGGCGTTAAAGGTAGACATTTCCACCCAATCAGCAGAGAGGTTTGGAGAGGTTCGTTCTCATCGGCAATTCCTGGTACAAGTCTTTTGAGTTAAGGTGACGTGACTCGAGGCATCTGTCCATGCATGTATAACATTGGAAAGATCTCCCAATCAAATAAGCAGCTTGTCCATCATCTGAACACAGGTATGAGGGGAATGACAGTTTAATAAATAGCAATAAAGTCTTTAACTTGTGACAGAAGCATATTATAACTTTGTGTACATATGAGCACCTCTGTATTACACATGCACACATTCTGGCATTCAACACATTTATACACATTTATAATCATCACAAATGCTGGTCAGCAGTTCATAGTAAGGTAACACACCAATGTTGGCATGTTGTAGTCCAAACAAGCGAGTGGTTTGACTGCATCTTCATTGGTCATAGTTTTCCCAAAGCAAAGGATGCGTTGCTGGTTCAGATCCCTCTGTACTTCATAGGCTAGTTTTCCTTCAATAGCTTGGTACGCCAAACTTCTAAACTTCTTAAGCTTCATAAAAACGTCTATTTTCTTGCTCTTCGAGTGCTGGGTAAGTCCACACGTGGTTCATCTAGTCCATTCTCTCCACTTTGCCGAGGATTTTGCCCTCATACATGGGCAGAGCTGAGCAGTCGTCCCAGACCTCCTCAAACACAGCGCCACATTCAAACTCATCACTGGCCTTCTTGAAGTAGTACCTGAAACGGAGAACATGTACGATCAATAAACTGCTCAAAAACTACAGGTCATTCTTCCATTCCAGAAAACAACAAAGTCTGTGTTTAGAGCCAATGCACCAATTCATGTTGACTTTAAATATCCGGTAACACTTTATTTTGATATTTTGATGTTGACCATAAGCAACTTCATGTCAACAAACTCCCATTAGAGTATTAGTAGACTCTCTGCTTAAAGACTTTTGCTGATAATTTACTCACCCCCATGTCATCCAAGATGTCCGTGTCTTTCTTTCTTCAGTCGAAAAGAAATTAAGGTTTTTGATGAAAACATTCCAGGATTTTCTCCATAAAATGGACTTCAATGGGAACCAAACGGTTCAAGGTCCAAAAGACATTTTCAGTACAAACTGTTTCAAAGGGCTTTAAACGATTCCAGATGATGAATAAGGGTCTTATCAAGCAAAACGATCGCTCATTTAATAAATAAATAACAAAGTTTAAGTTTTATAAGCTCAAATGCTCGCCTTGCTCTGTTCTGTGTGACTCTCCTGTTGTTTGAACTCGTTTATCAAAATGAACAAATCTTTTTTCGCGTCATTTGGTTCATTCAAAGAATGAAATGAACGAGTTGACTCGGGAAGAGATTCGTTCATTTGGATGAACGAGTTCGAACAGGAGAGTCACACAGAACAGAGCAAGGCGAGCATTTGAGCTTATAAAACTTGTGTTATTTATTTATTAAATGAGCGATCGTTCCGCTTGATAAGACCCTTATTCATCGTCTGGAATCGTTTAAAACCCTTAGAACAGTTTGTAGTTTGCTCTGAAACTGTCCTTTGGATCTTGAACCGTTTGGTTCCCATTGAAGTCCATTATATGGAGAAAAATCCTGGAATGTTTTCATCAAAAACCTTAATTTCTTTTCGACTGAAGAAAGAAAGACATGGACATCTTGGATGACATGGGGGTGAGTAAATTATCAGCAAAAGTTTTTTTTAAAGTGAACTACTCCTTTAATATCTGCCAACTCTGATCTTGTGATGATTCTCCAACAGACATTATAGCAAGTACTTGCCAACCAGTCTACTAATACTCTACTCACACTCCAAGGAGTGTTAGTAGACATGTTAGGCGTGACGCTACTCAACAGAACGTGTTAAAGCGACCATCAAACTAAAGTGAAACCAACTAATACTAATACGGTCGGTCCTGCATTGCACTCCACTATTTGCAGGACAAAGAGTCGCTTTAGCCTAAATTAGAGGGTCTGTTAAACACCACCACCAATCTACCATCAGGCTTCTTGTGTCTAATTGGGAGCTCTGTGAGCAAATGACGGGGATCTTTCACAAGGGTTGACATTTTTGGGTGCCGAGGAGTCTACACTAACTTTTTTCATTACCACATTGTGATGGGGACGAGTCTGAGCTTAATCTAGTGTTTGACCTTGATGGATAGCCTCTTTGCCTCATTTCCATTGTCCGATTTGTCCCTTTCCCTCCACCTCTGATGCACTAATGATCTCCACCTCCTCCAGAAGGAAGAGAAAACAGTGGGAGGGGAGGGAGTGGTGAGGTTTGCCTCAGTAATTGGCTTTGTAATGGAAAATGCCCCCTCTTACTAAATTGCGCTGCAGTGCATGCTAAGTTTTTACAAGCAAACACCACCAAGTCATAGAAACAGTTCACATAAAACACACACAGGAATAACCATGTATCGAAACAACAAGCAACGAGAACAAAGTTTCTTTTTTCTTTTCAGTATGTCGGAAACGATCCATTGTTTTCCCACTGCCCAAGCTTAACTTCATAAATGAGGGACAAACTAGAATACTTGCAACATGGCACATAATTACATCCTTATTTCTGGAGAATAAGCTATATCCTCCTCCGCAAAATCTTCAAAAGGGCAGCATGGCTCTTATTTGTTTGAAAAAAAAAAGAGAGAGGGAGAAGAAGAAAGAAAAAGAGAAAGAAGTCTTTCCATTGGAGCATGTTTTATATGGCAAGATTTTCTCTTCGCAACATCTGGCACCAATATCGTCTGGCAACTCTGGCAGTACTGTTCTTTGTTGAATTTCTGCCATGTTGAAATGACCCGACTCCACACATTTTCTGCGATTAAAACCTTCAGCTTTGAATTCCCTTTTCCTTGGTCAGAGAGGGGTCCTTAACATTAGGAATTTATCAATATTCATATAGAATACAAACTATTTGATAAACTAGGGTTATCTAGATGGATAACCCTGCAACCGCATGTTGGTCAAAGGGGATTTAAAAGCTATAACCAGCGTAATTACCAGCAAAAGTTCCCCAATTGTTCCGGTGTGCTTAAATGTGCTTTTATGGAGACAACATGCACAAGAAAACCCATTGGCGGCCATCCGACAATACCCCAATTCAAATAAAAAAGGGCAAAACAAAGAGAGCCTTTGATATAAATGAGAAGTAATCATTAAAAAAAAAAAGTCTTATGAAAACACACACACAAATGTATGAGAGCAACGTAGCTTGATACAATTGTTGAAAAATGTGTGCGAGTCTTTGTGCATCAAATGAAAGGCCTGGGCTTCAAAGAGCTGCTTATTAAATGTGCCTTAAGATGAAATCAATACCAGATGTGACCAAACGGCTACAGTTAAAATTCCCTCATTCTTTCTTTCTCTGTGCAACCACCCCTCTCTCTTTCCTGTCGTCTTAACTCCATACTTGCTGCTAATGCGAATGTTTACAGTAAACATCGTCGTCTTGCAGAGACCCAACACAACCAGTGTCAAAACACACCAACAAATCAGCCAATTACAAAACTAATATATACAAATTCAACGTCTTCAGCAGCCAACCACCAAACATAATTTCTCTAGTTGGAAAAGGAGTTGAGGGTATACCTATAGTTGCCTTTTTTCCGTAGTTGTTCCTTGAAGTGTCCAAGTGTGAGGCTGTGTGTTTTCATCATTCTGCGGTACGGGATTTCCTCACCGCAAAAGAAGTACGTGACCACTGTCTCTGAGCCCAAACTACTGTGGCAACTTGAAATCTTCTTGGGATCTTTCGGTCTGTAAAGATAAACAGAGATGAAAACAAATGTTAGGTAGGCCTTTGAGATCAGAATAAGGCAAGAATCACTGTCACTATTGCTCATGTAGGAACTCTAAACCATAATCAAACTTCAAGATTGTTTTAAATATTAGTTCATGACTAGGTTAATGTTTGTCTAGGTTAAGCACACTAAAAAGTCAATGTTTTAGAGAAATAGTTTTCTCTGTACTAGTACTTTGGGTTTAACAAAGTGTTGCTGTCCTAGTTGGATAAAGAGAATGATGATCAATAGACAGATCAATACAACGTAGTGCTACATCAGAAAGTGCATCCCAGCCTTAGACTGTGACAGAAGGTCAGCCAATTAAAAATGAAAAAGGGTTTTGCCATAAGGTGGCCAACGCTCCACACTTTAAATACTAGCCAGGCCCAGAACCCAAGAGGAAAACCAACCAGATGTTTTTGAAAGAGGGGAAGACTAATGGCTACAAAGCATTGTGCATGCAGCAGGACTGTCGTGGCATTGAACAATGAATTATAGTGTGCAGGATGATGACAATTAGGAGGAGATACGTACTCATCCGTTTGAAGCACTGAACTGCCATTTTGAACAGGCACTGGGTGACTCTTGTCTCTCTGAAGGCTTGATGTTGAATGCCTGTAAAGGGGAACCCATATAATCAATATTAACATCAAGCGTTTTAAGAAAAAAAAACTGCATACAAAGTGTTAAAAGAGTGTAGAGTGGATCTCATACCTCTGTTTGGAGGGTTTGGAAACTTCCTCCAGGCGTCTACGCGCCTCTTCCAGCTGTGCGAGGGTGTTGGGCGGGGGTAGAGGAGGCATGGCAGGGTCCTGAACAAAGGGGTGTGCGGGCTGATGGGCACGGAGATGCCCACTGCTTCCACCACCTCCCCAGGTGTGTGTGCGTGGCGACTCCAAACAGTGCAACTTCTTTACATTTTGAGTGCTGCAACAATAGACAATTTCACCGTGTAAGTAAATGGCACAAAGAGAAGCAGAGGCCTCTATCTTCAAAATGATTGCTCAATGCAGCAACGAAAAGAGAATGCTTACTCCCTAGGGGTGTAACAATATATCGTGTCACAATATATATTCCAATAGAGAAATAGTTATATTGATAGTTCACCCAAAATAACATTTCTGTGTGAGGGAAAATAAATAAATCACGTTTTCAGATTTTAAGTGTCAGTACTACAATAAACTGCTATATATAATGTTGAATATAATGTAAAATAATCAGGAATATTTTGGTGTCACCATTGTTCTGTGCATTGGTTTTCCAGCGCCAAGTCCAAGCCTATTAATTTTCTGAAATGATCGCAATAATATCGTGTTTATCAAGTTCAGTATCGTGATATGTATGGACTTGACGATACCGTTACACCCCTATTACTCCCTTATCCCAACTAAACATTGGTAGTAGTAAAGGCGCATGCATAATAAAAAAAAAAGAAAAGAGTTACAACATAGACATGACAATAGTTGCAAGACAGACCTGTGGGGCTTGTGCTTGGTCTGTCGGTCGCTCTCCAGGATCCACTGCCAAACGTTTTGAGAGCGGTCTGTACTGTCAGCTGGCAACTGAAGGAGACTGTTCTCCAACCCTTCCGTGTTCACCTCCTCACCAGATTTACACAAACGCTTGGATAAAGAGCTGCAATGCCTTTCATTATGAAAAGAAAAGAAGTTGAAGAGCAAGTTCTATCTATTGACACCAGGATGACACAATTAAAAGGAAAACGTATGTAAAGAAAAAGAGTTGCAGCATACCCCAAGGCCACTTCTGCAGGCTTGCCACACTGGTCTCGGCCCAGACTCCGACTGCGAATGTAAGGGGCAGAACAGCAATCTGAAGACCCATGGCACAGGCACTGCACCCGCTGGGTTGCCTCCGCCTCGATCTGCTCCTTGCTTTTGGGCCCAGCATGGTGATGGATGTAATGGTGATGGATGTGCTTGGTTGACTGTCTGGAGATGAAGGCCTTGGCTGGCACGTGTCCATTCAGGGAGCCAGACTGCGATCTGGTGCTAGGACCTCCCCGAGGGAGTGGGCGCTGTTCAGGAGAGCGGGAGCGTGGGGAATGCCGAAGCATTCCTGGGGACTGACAGCCAGGAGTCTTGAGGACTCGGGAAAGGTGCTCGTCCAGGATGGCCTGGGGGTCCTCCTCGTAAGAGCCAGGAGGGAGCAAAGGCAGAGAGTGGGATGCACTGCTTCCAGACACCTCAGATTCATCCCGCTCCTCCTCCTACAAGCGCACACAGAAGCATGATTTTAAAAAGAAATACTTGCAAACAGCCATTTACGGGAACTGTTTAACCACAGCTTTGCACGGTTTAGCTCCAACCAGCTCAAACTCAGGAAGTTTCTAGTAATCCTGAAGACCTTGATTACCTGGATCAGGAGTGTTTGCTTAGGGTTGGAGCAAAACTGTCAAGAGCTGTGGTCCACTAGGCCACTGTTCCTGGAGGCACACCAACACTACACATTTTCCAACTCTTACTAATCGATCACACCTGAATCAACTCATCAGCTCATTAGTAGAGACTCCAAGACCAGAAATATGGGTCAGAAAAGGGAGATATCCAAAATGTGCACTGTTGGTGTGCCTCAAGGAGCAGGGTTGGGAAACACTGAGTTTGAGACTACTGGTTTAAGGAAACAGAACACTTCAACCGTTTAACTATTTGACATAGTGACAACATTTCCAGACAATTGCAGCAATACAAACCTCCTGAATCTGTTGAAGTCTCTCCTCCAGGGAGCTCATGGTTTCCTGTTCCCGCTTCAGACTCTCCAGTCTGGCTATCAACTGTGCTGCAAATGCTGCTGGCTCCACGGGAGTCATCTCCTTAGGTGGCCGCCGCGTCCTCTGCACAACCAGAGATACAGATTAGCAAGAAGACCAGACAGGACAGGAGGGGTTGATTTCTACAGCTGCCCTCCCTGCATAAGTCCACTGCCCGTCCAATGCACACACAAACACAGACACATGCCCCACACCACTGGCATGGGCCGCTGCCGGCATGAGCAGTTGGTCACGCTCTAAGGAGCCTCGGCTTGTTCCCTCTGTAGTGCAACCAAGCCATCAGCCCGGCCTGTGAAGTGAGGCAGCTTCAAAGAGCCCTCGTCAAATATCAAACGCTCACCAGGGGCGGCAGGGACACTGGCTTTACATCTAGCAATAAAAGTCACATATTGACAGGGGGAAAAAGGAGGGAGGCAAAGAAAAAAGGAAAGAGAGGGGGATTAAAAGAAGAGAAAGTAAGATGGTGAGATGTGTGCCGCCACTAGAGGAGTCAAGCGGTGGGAGATCAGAAGCGCCGAGGTAATTTATTCCCCCCCAACGACAGCGGGCACCTTTGAGCTACAGTAGCCACATTATCCTCCTTCCCCATGAGTGTGCGTCTCACACAAGGATTTTCAATCACTTTCTTATTATTTTTATTATTATTTTGCGCCCTGCCTTTCTTGATTTGGCTTCCTCTTTCCATCTCTTTGTGGAGATGAAGGGAAAGACGAAAGAGAGAAGAAAGGAAGACGAGTTGCTGGTGAGACTTGCAGCAGCTCCAGGCCCCTGCTGCCTAAAAGTAACATCCCGGGAGAGGCAGCCAGTCAGCACCAAACCAGAAGGGAAATATTACAAGATAGAAAAAAGGGAGAGAGAGACAACAGAGAAAATGGGAAGTTTTTCCAACACAGAGCTTGAAATTGCATGTATGGGAGTGCGAGTGCACAAACAGTGGCCAAAGTGACGGGTTGTTTGACTTGATTAACAAGTTGTCTTTCCAAACCCTCTCTCCAAACACAAATTTGACCCTCTCTTTTTTCTGCTTTCAGGGAGACAGGGAGGAAACGAGGGAGAGGGGGATGGAGGGTGCTTTTGGAGGACTAAAAAGGGTGCAGCTCAGTTGGAAGTTGTCACTTCCCTTGAAGTCAGCCCCATTCATCCGCTGATCAAAGCGCTCTCAGAGAGAGACAGTTGATTTTGGTGCCTCAGGATAAAACAGACTCATTTAGTGCGGCATGGCAGTTTATTAAGAGTCATTATCCAAGAGAGAGCACAACAACTCGAACGGTGCACAACCGTGAGAGGGTAATGCTTTTTAATTGGGGGTGATGTTGGAGTTGTGTGTGTAGTAGTTCAGAAGAACGGCAAGGACACTTACAGGGAACGGAGGTAGAGACACTTGGCCGTTCATCCTCATGTTGCGCTGCATCTCTCGCTGGATTTGTTTTTTACTTCCCAGCTTGTAAGGAGGGATGGCATCTCTATCAGGACACATAGAGAAGGATGAAGGTTATTCACTGCCCATACTTGTACACAAACATACACATGCTGCACAAATATCTTTAGAGTGTTTCAAAGGAACTCAAATACAAACAGATGTTGTGGAAACAATGGCCCAGAAAACAGTACACTCTCACCCTGTGGAAACTCTTCCCCAGCACAGACGCCCGGGGGCACGATCAAACCCGAAGGGCAGCAAAACAAATGCCAACGCACAATCAAGCACAGCTACCGACATCTATATGACGTTACCAATAACAATAAAAAAAGACGTCTCGTGTTTCCATAAACACTCCTAATCCATCTAATCCATGGCAGAATGTTCCTAAACCTCCACCTCTTCAATCTTGCCCTTTCTTGCCTCTAAATCCAGACATCTTTCTCATCCTTCGCTCTGCTTTTTTCTTTCTTTCTTTTTTTTTTTAAAGCCAGGCCAGTTTCCTTTGCTCTGTTCTGACTCTGAAGTGTATGACCTAGCCCAAATGCAGTTTCCAGCACGTCTTTGAAAGCTCACAGTCATGCGCATAAAGCCGTCGCTCCAATCTTCATTTGGCAAGCGCTCGGCAGTCAGCCTCTGATCTTGCGCACATCAAAAGGCTGGTTTGTAAGATAAGGTAATGTTTGAAGTCGGCGCAGCGGCATTCCCTAGCGTCCAAGTAAATCCATAAATAAGATATAAGCAAAATTTCCCCCACTTCTCCTCCCCTCCCTCGCTCCCTCCCTCCCTTTATCTGGAATTCAGATTCTGATTTAACGCTGTGCCTTTTAACTCAAATAAAAACGCAGCTATTCCAATCAAATCAGCCTCCAAATAAAGAACACAGAGGCTGTTTTTCCCACCGTATGCTACTTCAAAGTGGCACAAATAAAAACAAAAATGCAATGAAATGCAATGGCTAAATATGGGTAAAATCATTGGACAGGAGCATGTAGATAAAACAAAATTCGGTAAAAATTGTTTTCCGAACAATAAACTTTTTTAGTTTTTTCACCGACTCATCAGATGCATCACATGGGAGATGATTTGAGTTCAGTATGAGGACGAGTCACCCAAGAAAGCTGTTGCACATTCAGTTTAAAAGAAGTGCTGAATGGTTGCACCTATCAAAATATTAATCTTTGGTTCAATCAGCCCACTGTCCACAGACACTTTCTCTGTTCGGAGCTTTGGGGTGTCACAGGCTGGCTGTGCTTTATGGGAATCTCCTATTCACTTGTGCAAGTAATTTTCAAAGCAGCCAGCCACCCTCTTATCCCTCTAAGCTCCCGGGGCCTAACAATGGGCTGAAAGCGATTCAGTTAAGCCTTTCATCCAGCATGCACTTTATTTCTCACTCTCTGCACTTAGCTATGCACTCGCACAATTGCCTCTGCCGCAAACACAGAGGGGGGGAGGGCTGCTTTCAGGCTGAGGTGGGGTTGAATGGGTGGCGTACGTGAGCGTCTGGGGGATGGGGGTCCCAAACACCCTAATCCCAGGTGACCTGCTCTTGTGCTCCAGAAATGGCCAACCTCTCAAAGGCCTAGCTGACACTGAATCCCTCCGTTCCAGCCGCGGTGGGCTCATACCAAACCTCCCTGAGAGTTGAGATTCCTTTAATTTACTGCCAAAGCACCTCGATGAGTGTCTTATAGTCCACATGGCGAGTTACCCCCCCCCCCACCCCTCCCTTTTATTCCTGGGACAATGGCAAAACCAATAAATAAAGACTGTCTTTGGTGACTATGTTGTGCAAAGTCTGAAAAGAAAGCCCTTGAAGATCAAAGCTATATAGGAAAAGAACATGAGCAAAAAAGGAGGACAAACTAGCCAGTATCATTTCCTGTTAGGGAATTTGCAAACATTAGCTTTAATTAACGGATAGAGGAAGCACATTATCTCCATCTACTCTTGGGTCCACTCCAAGCCACCACTCCAGACTCTAGCAATGCTTTAAAAACATGTCAAACACTTTTATTTAAATGTCAACGTATCACCTGAACGACTAAATACTTAAACCCAATGTCTGCTAACAGCTCGAGAGAGATGTTACTAGTCTTTGACCACAGGCTCAAGATGATAGGAATCATTCAAGATCTAAATTTTTAGGCATCATTCAAATTTGTCTATGATAATCAACACGAAACAGCTTATGAGACAGGCAAATATAGAAAGAGTGTTTTAGAAAGACACATTTTCTTATTACTTTGGTATGAGACATGTACACACTTACACACTACTGTCTGTCATAGACATAGAGTCATCCGTCAGGGCATCACTGGAGACCTCACTGTCATTGGCACTGGTGGCAGGGGCAAAACTATAACCGGACGTAACACGACAGTGGTTTCCAGGGTCATTGCGTCTGTAGGACCTATAGGGACAGAAACATATTTTGGTTTTTAGTTGAAAGGGTGGTGTAGTTCTTAAACTTGGTTGCTTGGTTAATTCATGAATTCACAGCTGAGCAAGACACTTATCCTCACGTTACTCAGAAGGGACTGAACATATAAGGTTCAAAAGTGTATCGCTTTCCAAAATGTGTTCAGCTACATTCTCAGCCTTGCCACAAAGGGAACTACAGCGGCTTTTACAGAAAAACTACTGTCATGGCAGAACGGGAGCTAGCTTTATACAGCTTGACTAACTTTTGCCACCTCAAAAAAAGGTAATGCATCCTGTTAAAGGGACACTTGGCAACTCTAGTTATTTCTTCGCTGATTTACACTTTTGTTGTCTCATGTATTCTTATCAGCGCCCCCTACAGTTGTGCGGCGTATATTTCACAACACCTTTCTCCAGCTTTCTACCGCTGCTCATGTGCTTCTGTTATTATCGGAGCCGGCCAACTCTATCATGTGGAGATGTGTCTACCGAGTGGGTAATGCATCATAAACAGTATCATAGAATTATGTCGAATTGCCATTAAAGCATAAAGCGAAGTTGTTGTTTTTTTGCCTGGGGACACTGGGGGGAAAGTCACCATTCTCTCCAGAACAGGTTATTGAACCATTAAAATGATTTCTAAACGGTTTTATTAAGTTGAAATAGTTGCCAAGTGCTCCTTTAAAGGGACAGACAACCTGTTTGCCATCTCCACAACTGAGGCTTGTTACCACCATAGAAGGTAGGTGAAGAAAAGACTATGATTCTGGCCTTAACTGTGTGTGGATTAAACATCACTTACAAAGAAAAATGTTACGATATCATCCAAATATTAGTTTTGCCATTTAGAGCAAAAAATGCTTCCACCATGGCCTCCCTTATGTTTGTGAAACCGGTCCAGCTATTTTTACTAGTTTTTTTCTTGGTGTGTGTGTGTGGGGGGGGGGGGGGGGGCTCAAGCTCAGTTTGTCTTTTCTCTTCTCTTTCCTTTCATCTCTCTTGCCCCACCTCCCCCCTGGGGCAGCCCGGTGAGGGCTGATCAGGGGGAAAGTTAAGTGAGCAGCACATCTGTGTGAATTGCCAATGCCACTTCCCCTCAGTGGAGCATATCTGGGGCCTTTTGTCTGGGCCAGGCACCCCGTTCCTCACTTTACCTCCCCCTTCCAAACTTTCCCGTTTCATGTCATTCCTTCTCTTGTGCTGTTTCCTCTGCTAGGGCACCTCCTCCACATACCCACCCCTCCCGTTCTCTCTCTCTCTCGCTCACTCGCTCGCTCTCCATACCCCTCTCTCCTGCTGTGACACATTCCTGCTCCACTGGAATAGGAGGAGGAGGTAGAGAACCTGAGTCGGACCAAGAGAGTGAGAGAGAGGGAAATAAAGAACATGAGAGAGCGGAAAGAAAGAAGAGAAGAAGGGGGAAGGAGGGCCTCCTCTTTATGAGAATGCCTACTGCCAGCAGCGCTGTTAGGGGAGACCCAGCAGGACTATAGCCTAAGGCCCCAACTCAAACCTGACCTTTGGAAGCTCCCGCTCAGAGTCAGGTATTTAGCACAGCTGGGTTCACATTCTTCCCTCGCTCACCCCCTCATTCATGCTTTCTTTCATGAGGTGCCTCGCCCCCCTCTGTCCTTCTTTTCCACTCACTCAAAAAGTGTGCTTATTCTCAATCCGTCGGGGTTTTTTTTCCTAGATAAAAGTGCGAAGAGAGGCAGTTGGAAATCAGAGGAGAACGGTGGTAAATAAGAAACGGAGGAGATGAAGGCCACGGTCTCTGTGACTCACAGAGGAACCGCTGCTGCGTGTTGTTTTGTGAATAACTCGATTCAGAAACACAGAAAGAGAGAGAGAAATAAGTTCCACATGCTTCAGATGAACAAAAAAAGTGCCCCGAGAGAGAGAGGAAAAACAGACTGCTCAAGGAGCATTCTTCAAAAAGAAATCAGGGAAGAGAGACTTTGCTTACTCTCGTCTGGTTCTTAATCATCTCCTACGTAAACAACCAGACAAAGATAAGCAGAGATGAAACGTTCCGTCACCTTCTTCAAGATCACCCTCCCAATGGGCTGTCTTTGAGACAGATAAACATTTGTCTGGCACCACACCTTGATGGGTCACCTCATTTACAACCTCAAGTGCTGTGACAGGTATTCATTCATCAAGCCAGATTTCCCCTGGTGTTTGGTTAAACCAACAGCTTGTCAAGACATCCAAAGGTGTCATAGTATATAGATGAGCTAAATCTTGTGAGTTGTTAATAAAAAGGCAAATACAACAGTTTTAGTTTTGAAGCAGTGACACTTTTTTTGGTGTGTGCCACTTGTTTTATCTATTTGACGTCTGAAACCAATTTTGCATTGTGAACTAGCCTTGATCCTTGAAGATGATCCTCTAACGGCGGAAGAATTTCAAAGCAGAGGAAACTGTGTGGAGCCAGCAGAGGGCCTGGTGCAAGACAATATTTACATGAAAGGAAGAGCTGCTCTATTGATGTTTTTTTCCCCTTCTCTCTCTCTGAGTAATGCAAGCCAGGTGAGAGCAAACCGCTCCAAACTTGCGAGAAAGGGCCTCTCATGTTTAAAGCAAGAATTCAGTGCAATAGCTGCATTAAACAGTATAATACACTTAAAACTCATTCCCAATTTATTAGTTTGTCATTAACCTGATCAATGTATCCAAAGCGACTTTACACTCACTGAGAGGAATTTATCCTTCTGGAGTAACCTAAGAGTTAGTGTGTTGCTCAAGGACAGTGATAGCTCATGGATCAAACGATCCGTCTTTAGTCACAAGGCTGCGTTGTACACGAAGCAGCACCAAGCATGTAGCAGTTGCAAGAATTTATAGTGGGATCATATAGATTTTTTGACATCTTACCTGTAGCTTTTCTCTAATGCTTCCGCTGAAAGAAGGGAAGGTGGTGACCGTAGCGCTTTGGCGGACAGACCCACTACAGTGGCCAAAGCTTTGGCTTTAAAGTCATTACAACTCCATTCTTCCTCTTCGTTTAGAGTCGGCATCGGCAAGTATCCGCACACCAGTTTTAGGCCTCCTAGTCCATTGGGATTCACATGACTTGGGTTCTCGCATCCGGTTCTGACGTACTCAAGGTATATGTCTGAGGTCAGGAACATCTGATAGGCATTCTCCTCCATAGCCGTCTGGATCTCCATTTGAGCCTGATCAAACATTGCGGAGTCAATCTGCTGACGCTTAATATTATCCCTAATAAAGGTCTTAGTGGCAGGTTTAAGCTGCTTGGCCACAACGCTGTTGTTCTCAATATACCGCTTGTAAATGACTTTGGCAACTCTGTGCGTTTTGGTATCCTTGAGGTCCATTTGCCTGAAACCATTGCAGGCGAACCAAAAATCTAAAGTGTCCTCACATTTCTCACGTTCAAGATATGCCCGGAAAAGTTGAGCACCGTCCTGGTCCCCGAGAAGGAAGTGCAAAGATTTGGTCCACCGGGCAAGAGGGGAGTCCGGAGATGCACTGCCCTCCGGTTCCCCAAGTCCATCCTCATCCCTCCTGGTTGTGGAACAGCGAGGATCAGCCATAATGGTTTTCACAGGATCCTTCGGTCTCATCATGGCCAGTTTGCTGGGATGGTGGCATGTCGTCTCACCCTCTTCCCCTGGGACCGGTGGACGTGGGTCATCTTCTCTGAAGCTAGTGACCATAGGATCTGTTAGTGTCCTATTCATGGCTCTTGCAGCTCCAGCAGCAAAGCCTTCAGTGTGAAGCTCAGCTGTAATCTCCTCTCTCTCTTAAATCAGCAGGGGAGCTTCTCTCTGAAACACAAAGTATTGATCTCATCAAAACCAGATCCGCCCCAAAACTTCAAAAGAGTCACTTCAGACACACATATCTACATTGTGCGCACTTGCGGTGTACAATCGGCTTCGTCGAATGAAATCAAAGCGACCCGTTTTAAATTCAATCCAGGCAAGATACGAGATATTTATAACTTTTTTTTTCATTTTTTTTTAAATGAGATCATATCAAATATTTTCGTATCGGGTTACATTACTTTTTTTTCTGAATGACCTCGACGCGATGAAACGAGAAAAACTTCAAAGAAAACTGAGCCTAGCCGGCGCAATTCTTAACAAAACTAAAACGATCAAACATCCCATTCTCGGTTGTATGAAGAAAATAAAATCAAGAAGCTCAGGACTCAAAACTCAGATCGGCGGCATAAGAAAACCGCATTTCACTTTCCCGTTCGCAATGTTTAATAGTGCAGATAAAATAGCGTAAATGTCGACTACGCTGAAACCGATCGCAATGAAGCGCAAAATAACGTGTACCCATTTAGTCGACAGCATACATATTTACAGTATATGTACAGTACAGAAACTTGCATTCGCTAATATCATCAATATGAGTTCAGAATGACCTCTCTTAAAGAATGCGTAATGTACATTAAATCTACATACAATTATAATGAAAAAAACAACAACAATAATAGCATAGTACAAAGCAAACGTAGGCTACATTTTCAATGAAAACGCCTCTATAATGCATCGCGCATCGAAACACATAGGCTACAGAAGAGTCTTTAAAAACACATTCAGACGCGTCTCTAAACTATTCGTTCAGTTTTAAAGCATTAAACAAACATCGTGAATTTCCAAGAGTGCTCGGATATCCAATCCACGAGAAATAAAACAAAAACATGTTTGTATTCAACTTCAAACCCATCAAGAAAAACAAAAGTGTGAGATCACAGGGGGTGAAGTCCCATAACACCACCATGAATACACTTTAAACACTCTAATCTAACGTCAAAACAACACAACACACACCCTGACCCAAAACACGCGCTTTAACACAGTGTCTATCAGAAATACTTTATTTCACAGCGACACATGACTTCAAAGTCGGTAAACAGAACATCAAAGCAAAAGCATGGGGCCAGCGCTGGGAGAACACACACACACACACACACACACACACACACACACACACACACACACACACACACACACACACTGCTCGAACTCACCATCCATCCATGAGTTCAGTCCCAAAAAGTCCCAGTTTTCAAACAACAGAACAAATATAATCCACAATATATATCCAATTGCGCGTAGTCCTCTTGTCCTCTGATGTTGTTTAGTGTCAAACGCAGACTTGAGGTTTTCCAGCGTACACTTCCTCCAGTAAAGGGCACACTAGATCCCTGTATAGTGTGTGTATTTGAATGCGCTCTGGTCTCTATTCCAGTGTGGACTGAGCTCAGGGTTTAAGAGCGGACATCAAAGCGCGCAGCCGACCGCACGGTCCCGACAGATACATACAACACTATTCCTCTCCTTCCCGCTTTAAACCCACACAGCTCGCTCCGAAAAATGTCTAAACGCACTTATTTATTATTATCGATGCTTCCGACCCGAATGCGCTCAATGAGTCGCTGAAAGTGCCCGTTCGCTAAAGTCCGTGAGGGGAAAGTTTCAACCGAGGCGCGAGGACCTTATCAAAGCGCAGAGATCTTGAGCCGACTCCCCTCGAGCTGTGGAGCGTCAGGAGTAAGTGATCCTGCTGTTGCTACAGAAACTTTAAAGACACAGGCCGCTTTTTCCCTCTGAGGACTCGCAGTTAACTCCTTAATTACCATATGCACAGTTAACCCCTCCGTTACCACATACACATTTAACCCGTTCGTTTCTGCGTTCGGAATCTGAATCTGAATGAGCTGGATTCGCCAAGTGCGCGAATTTTTTTTTTTTTTTTTTTTTGGAATTTGAGATTTATACATCATCTGACAATATTTGGCCGAGATACACCCAGACAGTAAACTGACATTGAATCAACGTGGAAACGACGTCTCTCATGACATTGAAACAACGTTGATTTTGCTCATCGAATTAACGTTGAACCAACGTCAGACGCGGCATTCTTCAAAGCTAAATGAAAATCGAAAATTGGTTTGCTTTCATAACGTTGAAACAACGCGTTGATTTCAAGTTGATTTTCCGTTAGTTTTGAAAGAATGACGCGTCTGACGTTGGTTCAACGTTAATTCGATGAGCAAAACAATGTCAGATTAACGTTGTTTCGATGTCATATTTCCACGTTGATTCAATGTCAGTTTGCTATCTGGCCAGCTATTTGAAAATCTGGGAAAAAATTGAAACATTGAGAAAATCGCCTTTAAAGTTTATTTATGTTCGTTTATGTTTATTTATGTTTGTGATTGTGCTGCATCCACTCACAAAAAATGTATATTTTCATTGTATTTACGGTACAAAATATCTTTATGGATCATGTATGAGAACAGACATTTAAATGAGACTAAGAATAAATAAAATAAACAATAATAATAACATCGGAAATAGAAGACAGCTCTATCAATACAATTTGTATTTATATTACATATATTCACAGATAATAGAACTGTACAGTTTGCTATCGATATAACCTCAAGGAGACTAAGCCTTAATGATCCACTTTGGGTTTTTATAAAAGCAGTTTTCACTGAATTTTTTCATTTGTGAGAGTCCAAAAGAAAAACCCTAAGGCAGACAACTCAAAAAAATTAATTTTGCAGCTTGTTCAACTTGCTTAATTAAAATGAGCTTAAGCAACACAATTGCTATACATTTTGTCCAAGCTTAATTTGATTGTGTTCAATCTGCTTAAGTTTACTTAATCCATTTGTGTTGCATTAACTGAAATAAAAGAGTGCTACAGATCTACCAATAGATGGCTATGGTCTAGTAATTGATTAGTGTGACACTAAAATAAATTATATTGCATTGGATGAATGAATATATGAATTTGAATACCTGAATCATATCAGGGGACAGGGAGCCTTTTTTAAATTCACTGACACTATTAAATAAGGCCGTGCCCAAACATAGTAAATAAGTTGAATCAACCTTAATGAATTAAGTTGACCCAACGCAAGTACAATAAGTTGGAAATTGCATAATACTGAAATAAAGCAAGAAGACGATGTTAAAAATGAAAGTATTGTTAAAAATAAAATAAAAAAAAGATAATTCTGTCATCATACAATGTTGTTCCAAAACGACTTTCTTTTTTTCTTTCTCCTATTACGCAAACGAAGATATACTTAGAAAAAATATCTTGGTGTTGTTTTTCCATTCAACACTACCCAACAAAAGACATTAAAACGTCTTCTTTTGTGTTCAGAAGAAGAAAGAAACGCAGTGCACAGGTTTTGAACAACATAATGGCGGGAGTAAGTAAGTGACATTTTTGTGCGAACGAGCCCTTTAGGACCCGACGACGGGGTTGGTGAAAACAGCACAGAAGTTTGAAGTAGGTTACTTTACAGTAGCAGTATAGTTAAAAGTCCTTCTCAAGTAGAAAAGTGAAACTACCAGAAAAGCTTGTCCTGCATTTTGAACTAGTGAGGGAGGACGTTCCACTGATTCCACTTATGATACTTCAAAGGCTCCAGCGCTTCCTTTGATGTTCTACATTCACTTTAAGGAGCAGGATATTATAAAATACATGCATTAGTGCTAAATGAGAGGAATTTAAAGAGCAGATGTGAAGCTCTGTACACATCGCTGTCATATATGGTGAGCAGAGCATAAAGTACATTTCAGAAAAGGACACATTTTTAGACCAAGGGACTTTCACCACAATCTTTCACAATAAGTCTACAGTCCACAAATGAAACACACACTCTGATGCTCTATTCTAATGACTTTAGGAAATCACTGTCCAGGATGGACCATTTACAGGCTCGTTGAGATTCATAGATATCGTTGGACAACTCTGCAAACTTTACTTACACTCTAAAAAATGCTGGGTTGTTTCAACCCAAGTTTGGGTCAAATATGGACAAACCCAAATGTTGGGTTAAAAATGCAATTAAAAAGGTACCGTTGAAAGTGAGAGTTGAAGTTGAATGACATTTTTACACTCTAAAAAATGCTGGGTTGTTTCAATCCAAATGTGGGTCAAATATGGACAAACCCAAATGTTGGGTTAAAAATGTAATTGAAAAGGTACCGTTGGAAGTGAGAGTTGAAGTTAAATGACATTTTTACACTCTAAAAAATGCTGGGTTGTTTCAACCTTTGGGTTGTTCCAAATGTTGGGTTAAAAATGCAATTAAAAAGGTATTGAAAGTGAGAGTTGAAGTTGAATGACATTTTTACACTCTAAAAAATGCTGGGTTCTTTCAATCCAAATTTGGGTCAAATATGGACAAACCCAAATGTTGGGTTAAAAATGCAATTAAAAAGGTACCGTTGAAAGTGAGAGTTGAAGTTGAATGACATTTTTACACTCTAAAAAATGCTGGGTTGTTTCAATCCAAATTTGGGTCAAATATGGACAAACCCAAATGTTGGGTTAAAAATGTAATTGAAAAGGTACCGTTGGAAGTGAGAGTTGAAGTTAAATGACATTTTTACACTCTAAAAAATGCTGGGTTGTTTCAACCTTTGGGTTGTTCCAAATGTTGGGTTAAAAATGCAATTAAAAAGGTATTGAAAGTGAGAATTGAAGTTGAATGACATTTTTACACTCTAAAAAATGCTGGGTTCTTTCAATCCAAATTTGGGTCAAATATGGACAAACCCAAATGTTGGGTTAAAAATGCAATTAAAAAGGTACCGTTGAAAGTGAGAGTTGAAGTTGAATGACATTTTTACACTCTAAAAAATGCTGGGTTGTTTCAATCCAAATTTGGGTCAAATATGGACAAACCCAAATGTTGGGTTAAAAATGTAATTGAAAAGGTAC